AATTTGTAATCTTTTCAAATGCTATATTTTATGCTCTTGGCCTCCCATACCCATTCCATTTTCCACTTTCGACCGTTGGGCGATTGACTCACAAATTGACATCGTTTAAGGGGGGCCGGCGATTTTCGTACTCGACAATCGTTGTCATTAATTAAGAGTGCAATCGTTCGATTTGCTCCAATGATAATTTATACGCATTCGCGAAAATCGGCTTTTGTGTGCGCCGTTTTGTTTTCGACTCGTTTGCGAATTGCAAATTTAGTGAGTTTATTCAATTATTCGTGTCAATAGTTGCGACTGACTGAAACTGAACCTAAAACTGAACCAATCATTACAATCGAGAAAGTCATTCTCAAAAGTGACGTCATTCGTGATCAGCTGACCAAAAGTTGCTGCCAGTTAGTATTAGCTATTGTTGCCTCATTTTGGTGAGAATCGCGTAAACCGGTTGCAACTTGTAAGCTGTGAAATATCATATGATTCCCATATATAGAGACTGAACTTAGTAATAGTTAATGTTCGCCGGACCCTTGAGTTCTTTATCACTTGTAATGCGATATGCCCCATCAAGTTATTTCATTTTTAGCCATATTGCTTTGAATGGAATGGAATATATCAATGGGTCTTTTATGCTCTGCCATTATTCTGTCACGTTTTCATGACTGTGACTCAATTGCTTTTATCGGGGTCGTTGTTTCGTCTCGTCTCGTCTCGTTTCGTTTTGGTTTTTGTTTCTTACGTTTACTTCAAGTGTGGCACCACAAACACCGCAAAACACTCGCTTGGTGAACTCAAGCCGTGAGCCCACATTTCTGTTGTCTCCAGCTGTATTACATCATCAGTTCGATCAAATTCATAAAAAAAATATCAAAAGGAAAAGGAAAAGGAAAAGGCCTTGGAAAAGGGAACAGCTTGCATTTACGTAATATGCAGACATGAGCATATCCGGGAAATCGATACATATCGATAAATATCGATAAATATTGATTTCGATCATGATTATATGCAATCTTGGTCAACAGGTACAACGGCTTTCGCTGTGTTTGGGGTATCTGCTAGTCGTGCATGCCCGACTAGAACACTTTGCTGCTCTTTTTCAATTTCCCACTATTTGTCCCCCTATTTTAGAAGTGTGCCAGCCTCGGATTGTGCATATGCATGGGAGAGTTCTTTTAAAGAGCGTGGCCTGGTTCTATCTTATCGGGCAATGAGTTTCTTATACTGTTTACTATTTAGTTGAAAGCCCGTACCCCCCACACCCCCACCCCCCCTGCCCGTGCTGCCACTCCCCCCTGTCAGTTAAAGTTGATTTTGTGGAGCTTTAATGGCCATTAACTTATCAGGCGAGGCAGCTATTACTGCAATATCTCGTATCTATTGTAGTTGTTGTTATTGTTGCCATTTCAACACCACTTTTACACATGCGTCGCAATTGCTTTCAACATTGTCAACACACACACACACGCACACACACACACACACACTTGCTGTTGATAGTAGTTCACGTGCAACAACAACAAGAGAAGGAACCTTATTGTCTCTGATCGTTGTTGCTTTGTTACTAGCTGGTTGTAGTTATCATTGTCTCTGATATTTGGTAATACTGTTATTATTATATATATATCTTCCTTTGTTTTTTTTAACATCGTAATTCCATTTGCGCCTGAACCGAGCGCCGTTGTAATCTATAAACATATTTTGCCCGCCACAATTTGATTTCATCATCGCAAATCGGCAAAAACATTCGGATCCAGCCCCTATACTCCAAAAAAAAAAGGAAAAAAACCACAAACAAATTTGTTAACTCGCATAAAAATAATCTAAGCCCAACAACAGCTACAACTGATGATGATTTTCCGACTGTTATCAATTCAAATGAATTGCCATATGCTGCTTAACATTGCGCTGGGGTTTACCTGGCAGAGATATGGTATATGGGGCATGTCTATGTGATTGTTTCTAGAGTTCAGAGTTCGCAAAGCGAGTTTTGTTCTCAAATATTGTATATATATTTGTTATATATTCAAAAGTAGAATGGAACAGTTTAATATAGTTTATGTGCGAAAACCCAAAAAATTGTCATCTGTCAAATATGGCAAAGATGCAATTGCTGGGGCCAAAGTTCTTAATACCCTTGAAAATGGTTTGGAAGGCTAATTGGGTTATGTGCCAAGGTATGTAACAGGCAGAAGAAAACATCTTTGATGCCCTTAAGTATATGAATTCTTGGTCAAAATCCTGAGTCTAATCGATTTGTGATCACGTCGATCTCAGAATCTATAAGAGTAGCGGCTTGAAGTCTTGGAACGTAGATCCTCTTAGTGCCCACTCAGTACGAGTATGTTTCCAATAATCGATAACTTGTTCCTTTTCTAAGCAATCGATAAAAATCGTTATCGAAAACTTGTTGCTGTGAGCAAATCTCTTGGGTTTTAGAGCCAAGCGTGACATATAGCTTCTAAAATGATATAAACAAATACTTGATCTTTAATTTTACGGCTATTGCAGAGTATCCCCAAGTCGGGCACTTCCGATTAGACTACTCTAGATTGTTTACAGCTAGTTTCCTCTTCTATATACTTCATTGCCATGCATATCGATAATTGCGAATTTTCTTTATTCTGATTTTATACTTCTTTTATATCTAACAACTTATCGTATTTTCGTAATTCTTACCATCCTAGGTGCAAGCATTTATCTAGCTATCCATGTGGCAACAGGCTGCGGTCTGCTTTTAAAATTGATGGATCAGTCGTATATTGAAATAATTTTCAGTAAACAGAGCACGTGGGGGGGGAGTTGGGGAACCAAATGCACTTATCGAATGTGTGGCAAGAGAGGATGGTGGGGTGGGCGTGTTTTGGAGGCAGAAGCGACATGTGGTCTCAGGGTCATGTCCGGCTACGCATTTCGAATTCTGTTGGGCTGAGGGGGTGGTGGGCGAGGGATAGCTACCTACAGCTAATGGAGATACAAGAAATGGATGTGGCAGAGCCAGCCGGAGGTGTGTGAGCAAATGCATATGGCCCAACAGAAAGACAAAAAGTGTTGCCACATGTCCAATGAATATTGAATTGTGGGACAGACTCTTGAGCTACAGAATTTCCGATTCGATGCGTTTCGCTTTGAGGAATCGCTAATTTTGTATGCCCCAAAGTTCGCCTTATCATGTGGGGGCTCTGTTGGCGTTAGTTAGTCGGCTTTTGGCGGCCTATCCGATAGTTATGGGTTCAAAATTGTGTTTATTTATCGCCAGTTTTTATGCACCTTTCGGCATTTCGTGCGACGTTCGCCGATTTCGCGTGTTTCGCGTGTTTCGGTTCGCTTTCAGCTTTTGCGGCTTTTAGTCTCTGTCGATTGCGACATCGAAATGCGACATAAAAGCCTAACGTGCCAATTTATTTGCGGACTGCTCTGCCCCAACGATTCGAGGTCTCTATAAATTAAATAAAATTTATGAAAGTTCATTCTTGTGTTTTATATTAAGGTATACACCTTTTACTATTGGCTTCTGATAAGCCCTGCTATACGAACAGTCGATAGATTAGTGCAAATTAATTTATAAATCCTGACCGAAGTGCATTTTATTTAATCAATAATATACTTTTAACTATTTGCAAGTGATTTACTTAATGTAAACCATCAAATGTCTTGCGATCAATTCGATTTCATCATGCTTAAAAATACCCTCGTTCTTCTTAATAGGTCAGGGAACTGTGATAAGAAAATAATATCCAAAACAAAAAAATATGATCACGATGACTTTTCTGATAATAAACCATAACAACTCTCTATCGAAAATAAAAAAAAATACGTGTGACACATTTTTTACTAAGTTTGTGAAAATTTAAGAATATCATAGTGATATTAGTCGGAAATGCCCGACTAGAATATGCCCTGGACTCTTATTCCACCAAATGGGATTACTACAAAGTGTCAAGTTAAGTGAAAGATATGTTCTATTATGAAATCGATTTTAATCGACTGGTCTATCGATGAACGGAAATTAAGTAGTAGAATCTATGTTCAAACTTCAAAGTCTCTTACTCTTCTAGACTCTGAGATCGACGCGGACATGGCTATAAATCGAATCTGTTTTTAATGCTGATCAGGAATATATATACATATACTTTTTGAGCTTGGAGATGGTTCCATCTATCTGTTACATACATTTGCACAAATACATTATGCCCTCTTTACACATTTTCAATGAGTGCAGGCTTAAAGTTCTTTTCTTAAAATGATGGAAGAAAAACTTCAATTTTTAAATGCAATTTATATGAAAATATTAATATTAATATCTCTATATATTCAACTGTTTGTCCTTTGTGACACGACTGACTGACTGACTGACTGACTGACTGACCGACCGACTGATTGACTGACTGACTCACCGACTGATTGACTGATTGACTGACTGACTGACTGACTGACTGACTGACTGACTGACTGACTGACTGACTGACTGACCGACTGACTGATTGACTGATTGACTGACTGACTGACTGATTGACTGATTGACTGACTGATTGACTGACTGACTGACTAGGAAGCTAAAAGTTTCACTGTAGTTACCTTATGTGATGATAGTGCACGCCAATACGGGGCTTTGGATAATTTCACCCACATGTGTGGAAAAGCCGCGAAAAACGTTTGTATGAAACATTTTTGTTTACCATTCGATCGGCCTAAAACTCGCTTTCGAAGATCTTTGTGAGAGGTTATTTGATACGTTCTTGGGTCTAATTAACGAAAGTTTATTCTTCAGCTTAAAGATTCTCGCCACAAGACTTACATGGGCGGAAGCCATTGATTCCATCACTTGGTTCTTTATTCGATGCACCTAAAACTTATTTTTAAATAGACGGACCCCCTAGATTTTTTTGTATCCACCTTTATATACACGTAAATAAAGTAGTTTGTTTTAATATTGAATTCTATTTTATTTGAATTTCGTTGATATCCGTCAATTTTAACAATTTTGTATTTGTTTTTTGTGGTTTTTTGTTGGGATTAGAGCATCTGAATTTATTTATAAATAAATTGTAAAACAATTTTAGCTTTTTTACAATCAATGCTTTACTTATTTAGTTTTTATTTTCTTTCCCATTGCTTTTGGGGCGTATAAGCATTTTTACTGTCTTCAAGGAGCCGCCGAATGCCCAATGCATGGAATCAGATTTATGCACCTTATGATCATAGTATTTGCCATTTAAATCGCTAAAATGAAACGAAAACATAATTAAAATTAATTGCATTCAAATTGTTTTCACAAAGCTGTGGCGACAATACCTGAATGAACAACCACCGTACCACCAGCCACCACCACGTTTGTTTTGGTATAAGCAGTGGGCATGCCCATCGAAATTGTCACGATCGAATGTGCTGAATTTCTTATCTTTGTGGTTTTCCAAGTTATCATATTCTGTACTCCTCTCAGAGCTATGCAAGGTGATCAATCTGTATTGGTCCTCCTCGCCAGAAATGGCAAATTGATCGTATTTTCTGTTTTTGATCTGTCCATCAAATCCTTCCATATGTATGAAGAGCTCATGAGGCTGGGCGCGCGTCAATCGATGAATTTTCTCAAGTCCTAAGAAAAAATCACCATCAAAGGAACCAAAGCCTTCACGGTATGTGGCCCAATTCCTATAGAAATCCTCCTTACCATTGATTCGCTGCTGGATAACCGTCCAGCCAGGACCTGCTGTCGCACTATCACAAAGTACATCGAAAGGATCTTCTTGATCTGGAGTAATCTTATGAATACCCGGAGTATCAGCAAATTCTGTGCATTCACCGTGAACGGGCTTCACTTCGATGCTTTTATTTTTTTTTTCACAATTATTGATTTCGTTTTTGAGTTCGGATATTTGTTGGGCCTGTTGATCAATTGACTCCTTTTGTTTCTCCAGCTGCTCTTCGTAGTCCTGGATTTTCAAGGAATTGGAATTGGAATCGGGTTTAGTCACTTCCTCTTTCTTTGATAAGACGTTGTTCGTTAGCTCTTTGATACTCTGCTTGTAGAATTGATTCTGAGCTCTAAGTTCCTCAATGACCTGTTTATTATTCTGGTTAAGTTCTCCCTGCAGTTGCTTGATTTCTCTGTCTTTGCTTTCAATCATATTGTTATTGTTTTCAATTTCCTCCTTCATCTGATGAATATACTTTAACAAAGGTCTCACCGCTTTATAGGTGTGCTTTCCACATTCCTCCTCTGCTATTCTGGTTGCCACACAAGACTGATAAAAAGGAGTTTGAATTATTTTCTGCAGTGCACACAAACATTGATAAATAATCTGTTTTTACCTCATCTTCGTTAGCCTCTGCTTCAGCTACGATTAGTATTAGGCTTATAAATATAATATATATAATTATAAGACATTTCATTTTGAAAGCACTTTGATTTTGGAATTGCGAAATGCGAACGTAAATAGACTGAAATACAGAAATCATTTGGAAGCCCAATGTGCCCAATATTTTGGCGATTTTAAGCGATTATCAGTAGGTCAGGAACTCAATATAAATAATACAGAAGGCATGGATCAGGCCTTAAGTGACCTTCATTGAACTGTTGAAAGATTGCAAATAGGAAAGTTCATTTGCTTTGGCTGCTTCTCGTTATTAGCTCATTTTATGAGACTAAAAACTAGTCTAGTCTCCAGTAATTAGGGCCCTCTAGTGGGCAATGCCGCGGACATCGAATCCGCTCGTCGTTCTCAGCAAGACTATATATTCACATTTTAAGGGATCGCAGATTGCACAAAAGCTGTAGTATATGCCCATTTTCAGGTTACAAAGATTATTTGAATTAGTTAAATAATATTTGAGATAATTAATATTATGAAAGAAGCAGAATAAGTTGGTATAGCCACGTCCATCTGTACGTCTGTCTGCTTCTATGCAAAGCAGTCCCTCAGTACATCCCTCGATACATTTGTTAAATATTTAAATTTTTACAGTCATCATTTAAGGAAATACAAATGGCAATTTTCTTTTAATTTTTTGAAAAAACGTTTTTTTTTATATATTTGTTTTACTACATTTTTTTTTAAATTTAATTTTTGTTTTATTTATTATTTAATTTTTTTGTTTATATATTTTTCTTATAAATTTTTTAATTTTATATTCTTAAAGAAATAGATTTAAAATTTCAATTTTCAGCTTACAATTTTTTTTTAAATTCTTAGTCATAATTGAAAGAAATACAAATGTAAATTTTTTTTTTAATTTTTTGATAAAACGTTTTTAAATATTTTTTTTGTACCATACTTTTTTTTCATTTTTTACTACATTTTTTTAAATTTTATTTTTATTTTATTTATTTATTTTTTGTATTATTTATTATTTAATTGTTTTTATACCCTTGCAGAGGGTATTATAATTTTGTCGTGAAATGTGTATCGCATAGAAGGAGACATCTCCGACCCCATAAAGTATATATATTCTTGATCAGCATCAACAGCCGAGTCGATCTAGCCATGTCCGTCTGTCTGTTTCTATGAGAACAAGTCTGTCTGTTTTGTTATTAGTTTTACTATGTTCCTCATATATATGCAAAATACTATTAAGATCGGATCTACTATATCATATATCTGCCATAGGAACGATCAGTTGAAAACTAGGTTTTTGATTAAAAACCTTTTTTGTTTATCAATATATCTTGACCAAACTCCCTGTGCTTCTTATATACGGGCAAAGCACTATAAGCATCATGAAAAGGTTGGGTCTGCAAGGGTATTAGATCTTCGGCGTGCCGAAGATAGCCCTTCTTTCTCGTTTTAATTTTATATTTATATCGTCGAATAAAAATCTCAATTTTTAGCTTACATATTTTTTTTAAATTTTAATGCATTGTTTTAAATTATATTTCAACTTAAGGTTGATAAGTAATTATTTATGCTATATAAATTCGATTATTCGACTATAATCGATATGACTTGTGTTTCGATAGTTATGCAAACCCAATCACAATCGATAATTGACATTTGAAATTTAGATTAAAGATAATCTCTTCCTCCTGCTCCAATATCGTAGCTTTAATTTGGGCAAAGTGTTTTTATTGTGACTCACCCCTTGCAACGCCTTGGCTGCCCCGCGCCCCTTCGAGAGGTGCATTCAAATTGGGATTCGACCTTTTAAGCTCCTCTGACACGCAATTTGTTGGCTGCAAATTGAAATTGGAAATTGAAAATTGGAAATTAGAATGTTGTGTGAGGGCTGCGCTACTCGGATCGAGCTTTCGAGGGTGCGCTTTGGCAATGATAATATCAGAGTGCGACCTTGTTCATGAATATTTTATTTATTTATTTTGTTTCGCCCCGTTGCCCGCTTCGTTTTTGTTGCTATTGAAAATTGACAATGGGGTCGCCTGTGCGCCAATTGTGGGTGAGCAGCAGGCACAATTTTCATTAACACCCCACAGCACAGACAATGGAGTGGTGGGCCACTGAACTGAGGCGGCGATTGTCGAGTCACCTGTTTACGTTTGCCCGAGCAAATAATAATGCTCCCCACGCCCAAATGCACAGACATAGTTAGTATATGAACCCAAGAGCTGGGCTCTTATCGCGTTTATTTGGTCAATACGCTTCGTTGGCTCGTTGGCTCTGAAATCATATGTGGGCTTATTTGTTTTATGCTCAGAGATCGCGACTCGGTGCGGTAATTATTCAAATGGAGCAGATGGAGCAGCTCTGGGGCCACGCACTTTGTGAGTTTTGTAACAACAACAAATGCAAATGAATTGAAAACTTTTGTTTTGTTGTTGATTTTAGCAGCTTGATAAGGGCTTCACTTTAGACTAGGTTCTACGCTGGATTGTGCGGGCTTAGAAAGCGTTGCCAGGTTCGCTTTGGATGTGTTATCTCCAAAGTACTATTAAAACTCAAGGCAAGAGCACATTTTAGTAAGCTACTTTAAGTATGATTATGATGTATTACATAATTACATATCTAACGCTGATTAAGGTGCAGAATATAATTTTATTCTCTGCACTTTTTAGCTCTTGCCCGGAAGACCTTTTGACTTGATAAAGCCGAGTCTCTAGTGTTTATTCGCTTTTCATGATACTCTGTATTTTGTTATTAGCTTTTACTTACTCTTGAAGAAACATTTACCCATATACCCATTCGCTCTCTCCAGACTTTAATTGCCTTGAGACAGAGCACTAGATTCATAAACGGTTCTCTTTGCACATTGAAAATACTCTGTTTTAAACATAAAAGTAACTAGAATTAAAAATTTTTACTATTTCTTTGGCTCAGAGAGCGGGAGTGAGAGCGAGAGAGCATGTATTTCATTTCCCTTTGTATTGCATTCGTAAACGTTTTGGTAAAGTTCGTTTTGAAAGAAGCGTTCAATTTGTAAAATTTGTATTATAAGAAACCATTTTAAACTTTTTGAAACTTAGGAAGTTTTTGCACGTTATCTGAGCGCAAAACATTTTAAGTAATATTGAGTGAGCTTTTGTGTTGCGACCTTTTAGTAATTCCAAGTTAGAAACCAGCATATCGCATAAACCAAAATATTTTGCAGCCCTAAAGCCTGAAAATGCCAGTTGAGCTTTTGACGGCGCGCGATTTCTGTGTGCGATCCGCAGAGAGCGGGACGGAGAGTCAGAGAAAGAGAGCGGAGCGCTATCAAGAACTCGCTATATGTATATATATATATTAAGTATCTACATATATATATATATATATGTATGCATGTGTATAACCCCAGCCAGGGACAGACGGGGTTTCAGTGGCATTGTGTCGACGTGAACGGTTAGTGTCGGTCGATTGTCGCTTGGACTTGGACTTTTTTGTTGGGCACTGCTCAGGGCTACCGTTGGCCGATAAGAAGGTGTGCGTGTGTGCGTGTGTGCGTGGGTGTGCGGGGCGGGGCTTGGTGCGGTAAGGGTCGCGGTCTCGATTTTATAAGCAAACATTTTGTACGCAGACAGGAACCAAGACCTAAGAAGAACAACAACAAAAATGACCAAAGCAATGTGAATAATACCAAAAAATGAAAGAAACGCCAAACAGCAAGGTGCCACCAACAACAACAACAACAACAACAACAACAACAGCAACAACAACGACAACAACAACAGCCCTAAAATTAGAATCCATATCAGAACCCTATATAGTTAGCAAATGCGAAAAATCGGGCACATATAACGCCACATCCAGCGCATCAAACCCCTCGTCCTTTGTGATTAAATGTCTGTTGCGAACGGCGCGATTTATGTGGCAAGTGACAACGATACCCTCTAAAATTGGTGACACCATAGGCACCCTGTATCGCTATGCGCAGGATTCGGTTGACACATTTCTATGCGTAGCTGGGTGAGAACTCCATCAATAGGCCTTATTACCACATCAATTACTATCTATCTAATAGCTAATCGAAGTAACTAATTGCTCTACTCTATCTATCTGCTCCATCTTCTAATTGCAGCAAAGCGCGTCGCAAGGAGCGCGATGGCGATCAAAACTCAACAGATACCAAATTGTATTTGGAGGAGAGCGTCCTGGAACGCAAACTACCTGAAGCTGATCTCAAAGCCCTTGTCGATCTTCCAGCTGGCTTGGACTACAATGAATGGCTAGCCTCACACAGTAAGTACAGTACAAAATTGACTAGCTTTGCTCAGCGTATACCCTGTTATTTTTGTGAATTGCCAAATGTGGGACAGTCTCTACAAGTCGACAAATTATTGGACAGGCCAAAGCCGTAGCGGTTTTTTCTCAGGGACTTTCAAAGTTGGAGACCTACAATTTGGGATGTAGACTCGAGTCTAGCATAGATGCTGTTCGTGTATATCCAACTTATAATAATCCTCTCCAGTTCTCTTCGAATCGCTCAAAATCTCTCTCTTATTCCCGAAAAGGAACTCAGCGCAAAAGAGTTGAACTAATTCGATGTGTATCTCCTTATATATCATTTATATAGTATATTCAACTTCTTTTTATACTTTGTCTAGAGTACAGGGTATTTACTAGTCGAATACTCTTCGTTGGAATACGCCTACTTGCTTTTTGATTATACTTCTCACGTGATATGCGTGTTTTGATTTATTCGAATTGTTTTCGCATTCAACTATGAATTGTTATTACACTTTTTGTTTTGTTGCTGTTGTTGCGCTTATTAATGATCGGGAATTTGATAGACCAGTCGCTATTTGGGCCTCGTGACTTATAGGCCACACGGCGAGTATCTCGTTGCTCCACAGACTGATTCAGCTAACTGGGCTAAGTACGTGCCGATTGGCAATTAGCAGGAGGAAGCTGCAGCTGAAGCTGGAGTGTGCCTCTATATTATTATGGACTAACAATTCCCATAGAATTGGAAAAAAAAACAGCTTATTAAATTTAACTGATAGAGATCTCAAGATCTCAAGCAGAGAAAACGTAGTAAACCATGCATACAGTTAAATGTTCTTGCTCTGAATATACTCTGGCGATAAACGTCCCAAGTTGAATATTTCTAGTTCTTATAAGATTCGAGATATGCTCCAAAAACAGGTAAATGCTGCAAGCTGTCAATTATTTCATATAAGGTCGAGCTCTATGTGAACCTACGTTTAGAATTTCAATTCCCTAGCTCCTAAAGTATCTGAGATTTTTGCATCTACACGTCCAGACAGGTCTAAATGGAGTCGGCCTAGCTTGAAGTATTTAATTAAGCGTATTCTACTATAATCAAGTTTAGATTAGCATAGGTCAGACGTCAAATAACATGAATACGCGTGAATAGCTAGCGTCATATTACTTTTCGTTGTTCTTGAGTTGAGAGACTCAAATTATATAACACATTCAAGACCTACCTTACGTTAGAGTATATAATCGGGGTCCGGATCGAGACGTTTCTATTACACACAGAAAGTTTCTTTTCGTCTGCGCTCCTTGCTTATTTCGTTGCTTCGTGCTTGTAATTCTCAACAAGTTAAGGAAACGCAAAGGGTTTAAATTTCATTCCTTGCTGCTTTTCAAAACTTTTGCAAAAGCCTTGTGAATTGTAAACTAGGAAATAAGAACTTATTGGCTTTGCGAATCAATTGTAAAAGGAAAATCCTTTATCTAAATCCAGGCTAAGTTCCTTTGGCTCGTGAAAGGAAAACCCCTTAATCTGAAACTGGGCGAAGTTCCTTTGGCATATAATTATAACATACAAAATACAGTCGCTCCTTAATCTGACCCAATTCTAATTAATACGCCGCATTAGCAACGCCTACTTTTCGCAGCTGCTGCTCAACAGTTAGTCCCTCGGCAGGGTTTCAATATTTCAATTCGGATACTGTCTTACATCATTCCACGTTTAACTACATCATCAGCAGCATCATCGGAATCATCATCGTTGCCTTTGTCTTTATTATCTTTCGATTTCGTGTTGTTCTCTGGGCAATTAGTCGTCGGATATTACATCATCTCGTGTTAATCTCTTGAATAATGATAGGTACGCAAATAGAAATTAACGCGGCTTCTCTGTGCCTTGCAGCCTTTTAAAATGGCTTGTAAATAATTGGCAGTGTTTCAGCAAATTGTAATGTAGCGACGCCCCCGCCCCCGCCCCCGCCACCGCTGGCCTGCTCGCTTTTCGTGCATCTTTCATTTGCACAGATATTGAATTTTCCTAATAATCAACTGCAAAGGCCACCAGCTGTGGGCGGGTCGTGAGGTCGCATGATAAAAGCCACAAGATGACTTCAGATACTTGCATATATGAATGTGTGCGTATGTGTGTGTGTGTGTGTGTGTGTATCTACCTCACCCCACCCCGCTATCCATTAAAAATGATTTCATTTGCCTTGACTTCCTGTCGTCGCCGGATCTCTTTGCACAGCGCATAATGCAATTTCGCCTGACGTAATATACTTTTTGCCCCTCCCCCTGCCCCCACTCTGCATGTCGACTGTCGTCTGCCCTTTTACTTTATCTGAGGCACACTTGTGCCAATATTGCGTTAACATTGACCTTATAAACGACACGACAATGCGTCTCACACCAGATAACACTTTGACGAGCTGTTCGAGCTGTCCGAGCTGTCCGAGCAGCTGTTTCAATGCCACTTTTTCAACACTTTTCCAAGCAAATCAGTCACTGCTATAAGAAGAAGAAAAGAGAGAGGGAAAACGCGGTCAGAGAAGTGTTCAAGATGAATGTAAACTCTGATTTGTGATTG